GTACCAAGCCATAACTATACATAGCCCACGGCTCAACAACAATGTGTACATGAATTTCAACAATAACATAAGGGTAAGGGGAGTAAATCAACAATGAAATGCGCTTCATATAACAATAAATTTAATTCGAGCCACATATACGCCCATGTACACAATCGTCAGCTTGTGTACATGTCATTTCACATAGCACAAATAATGTAGTTAGATAAAAATCTAAGGGGTAGGTTCCCCATAAAATGTTAGGCAAGATATTTACCTCTATTTGGCAATTTTTGTACTCTAAAAATGCTTTTTTAAAATTAAAAAAAATGACGGTTAAAATCTAGCCAAAAAAGACTTAATAATATCAAATAATGCAATAGAAACATTAGTAAAGTTAAGATCTTTACCCAATTCCCAAAAAGTAAACAAAAATCAACCTCAAGCCCGCTCGATCAACACCCGAATTAATGGGTGGATCTCGACTAGCCATAACCCCACAAGTCCATATATGTGATTGGTTTTCAAATTTGAATTTCAAATATCAAATTTTCATTTTCAAAACATAGTCAATTCCCAAAATTTCTCTTCAAATCTCACGAATTAAATGTTAAAATTCATAAACAATTATTTTATATAATCAAAGTTGAGTAAAAATAACTTACCCAATAGCTTTGTATGAAAATCCCCTCCTCAAATTTCCTCTCACCAAGTTTAGGGCTCAATAATGTAAAAATTTAGACTATTTCCCGAAATCCCATTGTTTTGTTCAACTGCAAAAGTTGCAAATGCAAATCCTCGCAATGTGACTAGTGGGTCGCAATTGCGCTGCCTGACCAGCCCAGGGAATGTTGCAAATGAGACTTAGACATTGCATTTGCGAAGTCTGCCCAGGTCGCAAAAGTGACCAAGTGCTCACAAAAGTGACCATCCCAGACCTAGACAAACCATTGCAATTGCGATCAAGGATTCGCAATTGTTATGCCTGAGACCCCCTGCCATCTTTGCAGTTCCCAACTGATGGTCGCAATTGCGATAACCGTAGCACCAGTACACCCGCACCCTGTAACTTAATTAAAAATAGTCTAAAATACGTCTGAAACTCACCCGAACCCCGGGGCTCAACACCAAACATCTACACAAGTCTAAAAATATCGTACGAACAGGCTCACGAGCTCAAAACACCAAGATAATATCTGAAATCACGAATCAAACACCAAATTGCATGAAATACACAATGAAACTCAAGAATTACTAAAGTCACAACCAAGCTCTGATTCTTTCCAAACAAACTCGGAATGACACTAAACTTTGCACACAAGTTCCAAATGACAAAACGGACCTCTTCCAAGTTCAAAAACAAAATCCTATCTCGATAGTCCTAAAGTCAACCTATGGTCAAACTTGGGAAATAACTAAACCTTCAAATTGTCAATTTTTGTTAAAAAGAGGCAATTCAACCTAGGAAGCTCTGGATCCAATTTCGGGAATATGACTAAGTCCAAATAACTATACGAACCTATTGGAACCACCAAAATACTGTTCCGTAATTATTTTCACTAAAGTCAAACCTCGATCAATATTTTCAACTTAAGTTTCCAAACTAAGAACTAATTGTTCCAAATCAATGTGAAACCTCACCCAAAACAAAACCAAGCATCCCCGCAAGTCATAAAACCATAAATACACATACGAGAATCTTCAAAAGGAGGAAACATGGCTCTAATACACAAAATGACCGGTTAGATCGTTACATTCTACACCTCTTAAATAAACATTCATCCTTGAACGAGTATTGAGACATACCTAAAGTGCCAAAAAGGGGAGGATATTAGCTATGGTAAACTTTGCGAGCTATAGAAGTTGATTCCATAAACCCCCAAAACCAATGAAATGCATGAAATGTGTCTTCTAAGATCTGAATATTGTTGTCGGATTGCCATCCATCTGTGGATGAAATGCCATACTCATCTCAACCTATGTTCCTAACTAACGTTGTACGACTCTCCAAAAATATAATGTGAACTGTGTTCCCGATCCAAGAAAATAGACACTGCCACACCATGAGTATGAACAATTTCATGAAGATAAATCTAAGACAACTGCTATAAAGAGTAGGTAATCATGACTGGAATGAAGTGTGCAGAGCTGGTTAGTCTGTCCATAATGACCCACACTAGGTCGAATCTCCTCAAGGTCTGTGGAAGTACAACTACAGAATCCATAGTGATGTGCTCCTGTTTCCATTCCGGAATATCAAGCCTCTAAAACAAACTACCCAATCTTTGATGGTCATACTTAACCCGATGATATTATAGACACTATGCTACATACTCCACAATATCTTTCTTTATTGTCTCTACTAGTTTGATATTCCAAATCATGGTACCTCTTGGCGGCGCCCGGATGACTGGAGTACCGCAAATAATAGGCCTCATCAAGAATCAGCTCACATAACCCATCAACATTGGGCACACAAATCCGACCCTAAAGTCCCACACCCCATTGTTATCAATAGTCACCTACTTGGTATCATCGTGTTGCAGTGTGTCCTTAAGGACAAGCAAGTGGGTATCATCATACTATCGCACCTTGATACGCTCAAACAAAGAAGACTATGAAACTACACAATCAAGAACCCGACTAGGCTCCGAAACATAAAAATTCACAAACATGTTGGCAAAAGCCTGAACATCTATAGCTAACAGTCTCTCCCCAACTGGAATAAAAGCAAAACTCCCTATGCTCTCAGCCTTCATACTCAAAGCATCAACTACCACATTGGCCTTCTCGATATGATAAAGAATGATGATATCATAGTCCTTTAGTAGCTTTAGCCACCTCTGTTGCATCAAGTTCAGATCCTTTTATTTGAGTAAGTATTTTAGACTCATGTGATCCTTGGACTTATAATGGTTGTCAATTCCAAATCATGCACAACGTAGTTCTTCTCGTGGCGCTTAAACTGATGCGAAACAGAAGCAATCACTCTACCCTCTTACATCAACACACACCTAATGCCAATCCATGAAGCATCGCAATAGACTATACAAGAACCCGATGTTGAAGGCAAAACCGGAACTGGAGCTATAGTAGAGGCAGTCTTGAGCTTCTAAAATTTCTCTTCACAATCGTCAGAACACCGAATAGTGAACCCTTCGGAATCAATCTATTCAAAGGAGTTGCAATGGATGAAAATCTCTCCATGAAACAACAATAATACCAGGCCAAGCCTAGAAAACTATGAATCTCAGTAGAAGTAGATGGTCTGGGCCAACTATGACCTACCTCAATATTCTTCAAATCCACCTTAATCCCCTCATTGGGCACCACATGGTCCAAGAATGCCATCAAATCAAGCCAAAACTCGCACTTGGAGAATTTAGCATACAACTCCTTCTCCCTTAAAATCTGGAGCACAATCCTTACATGCTGCTCATGAACCTCCAAGTTGTGAAAATACACAAATATATCATCGATGAACACGATGATGAAGAATTAATATATGGTTGGAACACATTTTTCATGAAGTGCATAAAGGTTGTTGGGGAATTAGTCATGCCAAAAGACATCACCAATAACTTGTAGTGACCATAGAGAGTCATGAAAGCCGTCTTTGGAATATCTGAAGCCCAGATCTTCAACTGATGGTACCCCAGTCCCAAATAAATCTTCGAGAATACCCTAGCACCATGAATCTGATCAAATAAATCATCAATATGCGATAGTGGGTACTTGTTCTGGATAGTAACCTTGTTCAGTTGCCTATAGTCAATATACATCCTCATATAGTCATCTTTCTTCTTCATAAAGAGAACTGGAGCACCCAAAGACGAGACATTTTGTCTGATTAAACCCTTATCGAGCAACTTCTCAAGTTGTTCCTTTATTTCTTCAACTCCACTGCTATTATGCGAAATGGTAGAATAGAGATAGGTTGAGCGCCCGACACCAAGTCAATACCAAATCAATATCACTATCGGGTGGCATGCCCGATAGGTCTGCTGGAAACACATCTGCAAACTCTCTCACAATAGGAACCGACTCAATGGTATGATTATCAGAACTAACATTCGTCAAAAAGGCTAAGTATGCCAGCAACTCCCTTTCTCAACCATTTGTTGTCCCTTAAGGAAAGACACTATCCTATTAGCAACATGACACAATGTACCTCTCCACTCAACCTCGGCATAGCTAATGTCACGGTCTTAGTGTAACAATCAAGAATGGGATGATATGGTGACAACCAATCCATGTCTAAAATCATATCAAAATCCACCATTTTGAGTAAAAGAAGGTCAACCCTAGTCTCATAATCACCGATAGTGACCAAACAAAAATGATAGACACAGTCTACAACAATAGAATCCCCAACATGCGTAGACACATAAATAGAGGTATTCAAAGAATCACGAGACATAAAAAATATGGAGAAAAATAGGATGACACATACGAATAAGTGGAACTCAGATCAAATAAAACTGATGAATCTCTATGACTGACTGGAACAATACATGTGATGACAACATCTGATGCAAAAGCCTTACTCCTACCTGTAGACATGTGATTTTTGACTCTCCCCAAGTTTTTTTATATTTTAGCGTTTAATATTTAATTTAGGCCTAATATCGCTATTTCAACTAATTTTGACTCTTTTACTTTATTTTATTACAAGAAAATGAAAATTACAAAAAAATAGTTTCATTAATGTTTTGTAGTCATTTCTAATCTTGGAAAATGCCAAAATAGTTTTGTGTTAACGGTCAGTATTATTTTAATAGTTATTTTACTTAAGTATGACTAATTAATAAATGAGGTCGTATTTTAGTCTCGTTCGCGGAAAAAAGAATAAAATTTGGGCTCGAGCAACCCATTTTTAGGCCTAATTTTGAACCTAACCCATAATTTCCAAGCCCATAATTCTAGGCTCATACTCCTTAACCTAAAAAAGGCGTACAAAGTCCTAGACCTAGACTCTACAATCAACTATATATATACTAACACCTGGGGAGAATAGCCATCCTCCTTACTCTCCACCCCTTTCTTCAACGCCCAGTGACACCTTCTCCATAACCACCCTCCAGCTAACGAGCTCCCTCACCATCACAACAAAATACACACACGCACGAACAGTAAGGAGGAACAGAGGTTCACGAACAGAGAAATTGAAAACAGTACATAAAAACAATACTTCGCCTTCTCCATGATTTGATTCTTAGTTTCAGAAACATGGAGTTTAACTGAAGTTTGGAGCTGAGATGTTAGAAACGGTTTGAGGTCATCATTCGGTTGCCGATTCGAGATTCACCATTGGTTCTGTTGGTTTTCCGTTATGAGTCGTTTGCTTTGATTCTGGTCCTATGTTCGGTGGTCTCATAGCCGTCCCTGTTCGCTTCTCGAATATCAGATCGAGCGTCACTATTTCTGCGTCAGTTTAATCAAAACAGAAGTGAAATCTTGGCTTTACTTTGAGGTTAAATCTTTTACTACTTTGCTATCCTTTTCCCGATAATGTTGCTTTGCTGCATCTTATGTTTTCTGCCTAATGTGAGAACTTTTCATATTTACCATGATAAATGTGCTTAATGGGGTATTGTTACATGTAGTTTATTTTCTGAAATATATCAGTATGCTTATGGGTTGTGAAGCAACTATTGAAGTATTGATATGTGAAAAGTCTTATATAAATTAAATTTGCACTGGGTTGCAGCAGGGAAATCTGATGATGGTTACTAGGAGGCTCTGTAAGATTGGCTTTTGAGTTTGGCAATAATAATTATATTGTGAGGTTCTGATTCAGTAAGCTTCAACTCTATATTTTGAAATTAAAAAGAAAGAGTCCGTCCTTAGCTTGTATTGTAATACTATAATTTAAGTCTTGCAACTATAATATGTCAAGTTATATGTAACACTAGAAGTTTATAAGTTCGTAAAGTTATTGTTGAAACATGTTGGTGTCTTTAGGGTATTATGGTTTACAATTTGTAATTCCTGGTGTGTGTTTGCGAGCAGGCCTCATAGTTTGTCAGTTTTCTTTTTGTTTTGTGAAGCCTTACGAAGTCGAATTGTAAAAAATCTCAAATTAGTTTTAAAAAGTAATTATAAACCTTCGTAGTTTGCTTTAGGCGCGCCATAATAAATCATCATAGCTACGGGTATGGTGCCCATGACGTAGTTATGATTTGAAATAGTTATAAATCCGGGGATACATTTCATGTGGCCCAGTCCTAATTTCCAACAAGGTTAAATAGAACGTGTCGTGAGTCATAGGCGCATTTCATGTAACGTGGCTTGCGACGTGTTTTAAATAGCTTTGAATTAATTCTTTAAAGAAGTAAAAACGGTTTTCAAAAGTTAAAATGCACAATAGGTTTAAAATGTGTAATTAAATCAGATAATTAGGCTAAGAATAATAGTTGAGCGGCCGTGCTAGAACCACAGAATTCGGGAATGCCTAACACCTTCTCCCGGGTTAATAGAATTCCTTACATGGATTTCTCTGTTGGCGGACTATAAAACAGAGTCAATCTTTCCTTGATTCAGGATTTGCACATTCAGGAGCTGCTTAAGGAAATTTTTCTTTTTATGTTTTGAATCTGTTTTTCTTTTATGTCATCTTTTACCTTCTAGTATTGTACAGTAATATTGAGTCTTTTGTTATTTTATTTCCTATTTTGTATTTAAAAAAGAGTGTTGTAACTCAAAATCCAAAAAAAAAGGAGATTTTTGCATTTTATATTTCAGTTAGAGGTTTTCTTTAGAATACTAGTTCTAGAAAAAAAAGTGTCTTTTGGGGTGGACTTCCTTAGGAAATTAATATCTAGAACTCAAAATAAAAATTGCTTTTATATTTCCTGTTAGTACAATAAGACTAAAAATTAAAAAAAAAAAAAAGAAGAGAATTTTCATTTAGTATCTTTTTAAAAGCTTTCTTTGAGGTATTAATTCCAAAAATCCAAAAAGATTTTCTTTGGAGGTTCTTCTTTGGGAAATTAACGAAAAAATAAAAAAAGATTCTTTTATGTTCACTAGAACTTTAGGATATTGTACATAGAAGAAAAAAACGTACTTCATCTGGTGTTTATCTTCATAGTTTCTTCCTTAGGTAATCAAAAACTGAAATCCAAAAAAAATATTTTTTATCTTGTTCATTTTTTGTTTCAAAATCTTTGTTCAAGGATATGAAATGAAAATTCAAAATATTTTTCTGTGGTTTATTTTTTAGATTTTCATCCTAAAAAAGAAGAATCAAATTTATTTTTTTCTCTTGTAGGGTTTTTTCCTTAATAATTTCCCACAGAGTGTTTGTTTCAAAATGAAAAAAGCAATATATATATATATNTCTAGAAAATTCAAAAAAAAAGATTTGATTCTTTTATTTCTCTTTTCTCATCAGAGTAGTCATTAAGGTAAAAAAGAAAAGGAAAATAAAAAGAGAACGTTAGTTTGTTTCCTTTATTCCCGATCTTTCCGAACTACGCAAAGATCTGATTCATGCGGTGTCATGATACGTAGGCAACCTACATAGGGTTTGATCGAATTATTTTTTAAAAAAATAAAATGAAAAAAGAAAGAAAAAAAGAGAGGTAAAATTATGGGATGTGAGAAATGAGGGGAAAAGAAAAGACTGTTAATTAGAAGAAAAAAAGGAAGGAAAACAAGCAAGCCATGAGGTGCTAGAAAAGCAAAGAAAAGAGAAGGTTGAATTGAACAAATTGGGATGATGCCAAGTGACCTTGTGACCCTAAAAGTCATTCTAGAACCATTAATTATTGCTAGATGCATTGCACGCAATGTGATATTTTTAGCTGTTAAATATCCTAATGCTAACAGGATGATTCCATTTTGTTCCTTTGGTTATCTTCATTGAGCAGAAGGGTGGTTGGTTTGTGATTTTTAAGTAACTCATCCATACAATATAAGGTCAAAGAGCAAGGTAGCCATGACTAGCAAAGACTTGGACACAGGGGTTATTAATCCTTTTAAGAGAATTGTTGAATCAGAATCTGAGTTGAGAAAAGAGGTCTTAAGGTTGAAAGGACAGATGGCCAAAATATACCAAGCCTGGATTAGTGGACGTCCTCCACCATAAGTTTCCACTAACTACACTGAAAGCCTTGCCACCATTCCACCACTGTCACAAGTCCGGGATATCTCCCCACCACTTTTTAACACTCCACCCCCAAAACCACCTCATATCCCGCTCCTTTGACCACTCATATTTTTGTAGCTCATCCACCTACTACCTTTCCTCGATTCTCTAGCAAGATTGTGTTCAAAATCCCTGATACCTAACACTATGCTCCAGAACCAATTATCAAGATCTCGGGTCCATACTCTTACACTCCTCATTTTTAGCCTCCTAGTGAGACTGGAAAGCCTTCTAAGACAGTGGAGCAAGATGAAATATCTAGAAAGCTAAAAGGGTTTAAGATGCCAAAGTTTAATTTGTATGATAGGCGTAGAGATCCAGTAACCCATCAGAGGGGTTATTGCAGTGAAATGATAAGTGTTGGCAAGAAAGATGAGTTACTGATGGCTTATTTCAGTGGGAGCCTGACTGGTGCAGCTTTGGAATGACATACTCGTCAAAATGTCGGTAAGTGGCATACTTGGGATGACATGGAACAAGACTTTGTGTGACACTTTCAGTACAATATAGACATTGTCCCAGACCGCTCCTCCTTATCTTAGATGGAAAAGAATCCCACAGAAAGTTTTAGGGAATTTTGGTTTAAATGGAACGAACAAGTTGCTCGAGACAGTCCTCCCATTGATAGAAAAGATGTTGTTGAATCATGCCAATGACAGGATCCAGTGGGCATCCCTGCTACATGCTTTTAGCCTCAATACCGACCCCATGAATATCCTAGAGCTCCACATAATCCACCCCAGTATTATCCTCCAAACAACGCTAGGCCATCTGTCCAACCACTAGGTCACTCCAAAAGGCGAGCACGAGCACCGCAAAAGCTTCACCAACCTTCGCAAAATTTTCAAGTGCCCTATAACCCACATTCAAGCAAAGGGTGTAGAAGGGAACAGAGCCTGAAAGATAATTTTACACCAATAGGAAGGTCGTATGCAAGCTTGTTTGAGAGATTAAAGCATTCCGACATGATTACACCTATTCCTCTAAATTATATAGACCCGCGTGCGAGATGCTTTGACCCTGCTAAAAGGTGTGAATACCATTCCAATGCTCAGGGGCACAATGTTGAAGATTGTCGTGCTTTGAAAAGGGAATTATAAAGAATGATACAATAAGGCATAATTGTGGTCCAAGGCAGCAATACCCCAAGTGTCACACATAATCCTTTACAGGTACGTGACAATGCACAGATTATTGGGATGGTTTGCAATGATGAAGGTTTGGTGAAAGGAGTCAATGAGCCACTTGGTGAAGACAATGTGATTGAAGTTGGTAATGGTCTTGATAATATTGATGTGGAGCTCAGTGGCTAAGATGTCGTGCTTGGTAATTGGAAAGACGCTCCTTTCTTGGCTTGCCGGGGAGGAATCTTGGTGGTTTATTTTGTTGTCATTTCTGTTGTCCGGATTATTTCAAGGTTGTAATCCAGATATTCTCTTATGACTCAAACCGTTATATCCTTTTATTTTCCTAGTTCATTTAGTCGTTGTACCCCTTTTAGTGTTATTTAGGTTTTACCAGAGTCGTAACTACAATGTGTTTTGTTTGTTTTGTTGTTCAAACCCTTTCACCGTCTGTCTAATACAATTTTCTGCTTTCTATTATTTCTAGTCACTTTTTGTTTAGTTCTCTTCTCTTTTTTATAGGTCTTTTCATGCTGGCCTTAGCGACATGACATGCACGCATAATTCTAGGCCTGGTCTTGAAAGTTAGTTTAATCACGAAACAATGAAATAATTTTGAAGATGATAGAGATGCTTGAGGGAAATAAGTACAAATTTGGACATTTTGAGATCATTTGAAGCCTGAACCTTTTGAAACCGGGGGAGATAGTTTTGAAAGTTAATGGGACGACAAGAATTTGTTACAAGAGAGTGCGTACCAACAATTTGAAGCAAGAACTTTGAGTTCAAGTGCATCTCAAGTTACAAGATAAAGTCAAGAAAGTTTTCTTCGAATTGATGAAGGATATCCATTGTGAAGAGGAAACCACCCAACGAGGGTTCTGTACTTGACAAGGCGCTAAAGAAAAGTGGAAGGCATATCAATGATATCAATGCCGAAACCGCAAAAGAAATATTGTGCATGATATTCAATTTTCATCCTCAAGTTGCATGTTTGTACTTGACATTTTCAAGGATTGGGAGGCCCTCTTTCAGCTACCCAAACACTTAAACCATTCGATACCATTTTGAGCATGTACTTATTTCTTTGACCTCCCCTCTTTTGGAGTCAAGATAGTATCATACGGAAAACAAAATTCATGTCCCCATAGGTTTATTTTAGAAAGTTCATTCCAAAAGAAAAATTCAAAAAAAGAAAAAAATAGAGATAAAGAAAAAAAGGAAAAAAAAAAAAAGAAAAAGTAAAAACAAAGACAAAAAAAGGGAAAAGGAAAATAGTAACAAAAGTAGTTTTGTGAATTACGTTTGACATGATTCTTGTCAACACAAGCAACGTAGGCAGCCTTATAGTTCGGTCATACCAAATAAAATATTTCATAATCCCACGAAGTCGAGAGTGGGGCAGTCTTTCTTAGAAATTTTATCTCGAAAAGAGGAAAAAAAAGAAGAATCAAATTCCCTTGTTTTAGAAATTGGGGCAAAGTTTTTAGAATGAATTTCAAGAGTTGTAAATAAATTAACCCCATTGTCTTAGTTGTTTTGAGCCTTTATGATATCCTTTCTTTTTAACCCTATCCAAAAGCCACATCACATTCCAAAAAAGACCTCCCAGATAATCTTTGAGAGTGCTGAGTTTAGACATACCAGAAACATATGATTTTACTATGGTCAATGTCTTGTCATTTATAGAATCGGAGGAAAGAAGAAGAAAAGAAAAAAATGAGAGAGTCTTATCAGTGAAAACCTTCACAAGCACCATAAG